TGGATGGATGGATGGATGGATGGATGGATGGTGGGTGGATGGATGGTGGATGGATGGATGGATGGATGGATGGATGGATGGATGGTGGATGGATGGATGGATGGATGGATGGATGGTGGGTGGATGGTGGGTGGATGGTGGGTGGATGGATGGATGGTGGATGGATGGTGGATGGATGGATGGTGGGTGGATGGATGGATGGATGGATGGTGGATGGATGGTGGATGGATGGTGGATGGCAGATCAGGTGGTCTGTGGACAGAGGAGTTTGCCTTACTCACATCAGCAGCCAGCACTGCATTTCTCTTGAGGCCGAGAGAGAAGTGAGTGCACTTCCTCAACTGGGGCATGCTCATTTGTTGAACTGAGATGAGACTCCTGGCCTTTCACACCCAGGCCTGGGTGGCTGCCCCGGCTCCTGCTGCCTCCACTTACCCAAAGGTGCACACCTGCAGGAGCCCAAGCCTACAACCACCCCCACCCCACTCCTGAGCTATGGGATAAGAATCTCCTCACAGGAAGAGTCCTCCAGGGGAGACTGGGGAAAATGAGCCAAAATGGTCAGGAGGCGATGGACAGAGAGATAAGGAGGAGAGTGATGGAGAGGGAGGGAAGGGTGCAGGCAGCACGAACCCAGTGTGTGGTCGGCACACTCGATGTAGATATTGGGAGGGCAGATGGTCTCATTGCCTGAATGAAGAAAAGATTACTCCTGTCGTCTCTATGGTCCTTCCCCGCTTCCCAGCCTCACACTTTCGTGGGCAGACACACGTGCACAGAAGAACTTGTACACTCATGCTGGCAGACATAAAAACATGCACACATACTGGGCAGCACATGCTAGCTTGCATATACTTGTATTCTCAAGCACATGCACTTGACCCCACAGCACCTAAGTGCACAGCACATGAGTTTACAAATATATATTATTAGCATTAACACAATGCATGCAATAAATAAAAGGACGCAAGCAAGTACAGGCACTGTGCATATGTGAACAGCATGCACAAATCTCCAACACGTCCGATGCACACACGGGTGCAGAAAAGCAGGGTTCTCTCCCGCTGAGGTTCCCAGTCCGGCCGCGCCCACCTGGCATGTGCACCATCCGGCAGTGGCAGCGCTGCAACACTGCCTCCTTTTCACAGCGCAGGCGACAAGCGGACACGGAGTATGCTGAGTAGCCCTGGAGCTCCGGTTCCCAGAGCTCGCTCTCGGCCCTGCAGTTGCCCCAGGGCTGGGGCAGATAGGTCAACTGCAAAGGCAGAGAGGCAAGGCAGACTGAGGTCATGCCTCAGAGTCTCACTGGGTCCCCAGCACCCGCAGACCCAGCAGAGTTACTTAGGAGGAGCAGTGGGCTACGGGTTTCTAGAAGACGGGCCTGCTAGTGCCCAACGTTGGGCAGAGTGGGAGCTGCCTACCCGCTGTTCCTGGCAGGACACGAAGGTCTGGAAGCCTGGGGACACACCAAAGCCCAACTGGTGGATGTAGGGCGGCTCTTCCTGACTGTGGATCTGCACCCGGATGCCGGCCTCAAATGAAGTCTCATCTGCCAGGGGAGATGTGGACCCGTGGACACCCAATCCCAGACACAGGGCTAGAGTCTGAGCCCCTAGATGGGCCCCTGGCCCGCCCGCATGCGTACTTGTCTCCCTCCAGATGGGCAGGTACTCCTCCTGCTGAATGTCCAACATGATCTCCAGGCCGCTGCCCATGCCCCCTGCCCGGCTGGGCAGCGGGCTCTGCGGGTCTGCGTTGAAGGTGTAACACTTCCCATAGCGTGTGTAGACCTGGGGGGATAGGAAAAGGGGGAAGGATGGAAGGAGGGGGCCAAGGACACCCAGTGTTCACTGTCCCCTCTGTAGACCCCCAGAGACGTCCACAAGACCCACCTGGACACTCTTGTCCTATATCCCAGCCTTTTTCCCTAAGCATCTTCGACCTGGCATCTCCTCCTCCCGTGTGTGTGTGTGTGTGTGTGTGTGTGTGTGTGTGTGTGTGTGTACACACTCTGTTGAGTCCAATTGACTCATAATGACCCTGTAGATAGAGCAGAGTAGACCTTCCCTGTGGGCTTTTCAAAGCTGTAATCATCACAGAAGCAGATTGCCACATCTTTCTCCTGTAGAGCAATTGAAAGATTTGAACTGACAACCTTTCCATTAACAGCTGGGTGCCTAACCTCTGTACCACTAGGGCTCCTTCATCCTCCCTTAGATGATGAAAAGGCATCTCTAACTTATATCAATAATAATACTCTTGATATTCCCCAAAGTCTCTCCCCAGCCAATCTCTTTCTTCTGAGCACAGTCCCACCATCTATTTGGTTTCTCAAAGCAGAGACCCTGCAGTTTCCCTTTTCCTCAGCCCGACATCTAAGTCAACTGCTCTCTGGGCAGTTCTGCTCCAGAAATAAATTCAGAATCCACCCACCTATCTCTCTGTCTCTCTCTTTCTGTCTCTCTGTCTCTGCCTCTCTTTCTCTCTCTCTCTTCTCTCTCTCTCTCTCTCTTTCTCTCTCTGTCTCTGTCTCTGCCTCTCCCCCCACCTCCAGGGCCTCTATTCGTTGTCATTTCTCACCTTGACCAGGTGGTGGCCTCCTGACTGGCCCCCCTCCTCACATTCTTCAACCACCACCATCCCCTCCACCAGGTACCATCAAACCAATTCTGACCCCGTAGTGACACCCGTGTCAGAGCAGAACTGAATTCTACAGAGTTTCAAGGCCTCAATCCTTCAGAAGCCTGCCTTCCATGGTGCCTCTGGTCAGATTTAAACCTCTAACCACATTGTTAGTATCCATTTGTGCACCAGAGGGCATTTCTATTAAAGTGCTTTAAAAACCAAACCTACTGACACCACTCCAAGGCACAGTGACCCTGCAGCACAGCAGGCTTGCCCCACAGGGTTACCAAGGCTTGGTCCACTCCAAGGTATGGTGACCCTGCAAGACAGCAGACCTGCCCCGCAAGGTTGCCAAGTCTTCACGGAGTCAGACTGCTCATCGCTCTTTGACTTTTTGGTTAGGATCTAAATGCTTTAACCCATGCCACCAGAGCTCCTTAAAGTGATTCTCTTTCACTGCCATCAAGTCAGAAACGACTCATAGCTGACCCCTCCGGTGGGTTTTCAGAGCTTTAAATCGCACAGGAGCTAGTCAGACCTGTTGTTGTTATCGTTGTTAAATGCCATCAAGTTGTAGGCGACTCATAGCGACCCTATGAACAAATGGCCTGAAGACTTGTATAACTTTCTTCCTTTCTCCAGGTTCATAGGGTCTCTGGAGACAAACTATTTCAGAAGTGGATACCACTCCTGCTTATTTTAATTGGAGAGCTCCACCAAACACTGTCCACCATGTGTAACCATTCTAGCATTTGATACATCAGTGTCACAGTGTTCAGTTTCACAGTAACCACGAGTTACCTCTCTATGGCAAGTGGACACACCAGGCTATACAACCTAGAAGAATGTTTGACCAAAAACAATCAAAAATAGGCCTGAGGGCCATGGATTAGAGTCACCCACCTTTGGCCCGGTAGCATCACTTTTTGTCCTGTAGGCCACCTGATCTTTCTCTATGCTGTTGTTGTTGTTAAGTGCCGTGGAGTAGTACGTGATCATAGCAACCCTAGGAAGCTTAAAACCTAGTGACCACGTCCTTCTTATCTCAGAGTAAAGGCCCGGAAGTCTGCCCATAAAGCAACTCTCTCCACCCTCTCCTAGAGCCAGCTCAGAGCTCTGACGAATCCAACCACGTCGACTGTTCTCGCTTCCTTCCTCAGGGCCATCGTTCGAACTGTTCCCTCTCCCAGAATGCTTGCACCACCGCAACCTTGAGCACGGGGCTGCTCACCTTCCAAGCTTCAGCGTCACTTCTTCGGACGCACAGATCCATCACGTCACTCTTGGCCCTGTTTTTGGTTCACTCACAGTGCTTCTCATGAGCCAGGGTCATCAGCCTATTCATTCATCTCCTTGTTCATTTTCTGTACTCACTGGTGTCTGCTGCCAAGCACAGCGGCCTGTCTGGTGCCCACCTCAACTGCCAGCATCTTGCCCAATCCCTTATTACAGGGACTCTTTGATATAGAGTCCCTGGGTGGTATTAACACACCACATTGTTAACTGAAAGGTGAAACGTTCAAGTCCACCCAGAGGTGCCTCCGAGAACAGTCTGGCTTTCTACGGTTGAACAATCAGCCACTGAAAAGCTTTATGGGAGCAACCAGAACACAATTCTTGAGAATGCTGCCAGGTTATGAAAAAGGGCAGGTGGCCGACGTCCTTGAGAAATTTGTGCGGGAATCTGAGAGGAACCTAGCTTGCCACACAAACTTCCACCAAAAACACAATAAAACGTTATTGAAAAGAAAAAAAGTTGATAGGCTACCCACATATTGATTCTGTTGTGACATAAAATTTTAATAGTTAATAAACACCAGAAGTAGGAAAATATTCAAAGAAATGAAAGCCTTAGGGAGCACAATTCTACTCTAAGAAGCAATCTAGAATTGAACTATAACTGCATCTGGTTTTAAGAAGTCTGTGGGGAAACACATCACGTTTAGAAAAGTGAAGGGTCAGTGAATGAGAGGAAGACCCTCAATAGAATGGATTGACACAGTGACTGTACCAACGGGCTCAAGTGTGTCAGAGATGGTGACGATGGCAGAGGATAGGACAAGGTTCAGGTCTATTGTTTATAGGGTCAACATGAGTTTCAGTCGCCTCAACAGCACCTGACACACCCCTGCAGCTCTAAGTGAAAACAGCCCCTTCTAGCTCCCTTTTCTTTGTGGCGAGTTATCCCTTTTGGACACCAGATGGCGCTGGCTCCCCGGAGATGGAGCTGAGGCTCCAGGGCGCCCCACTGGCAGCTGCCGAGGTGGGAGGAGGCCGAGTGAGAGACAGAGAATGTTAGTTCCCCAGCCAGCCTCACCCCCACTGAGACCAGCCCCAGGGTCAAACCCATCACCGTAGTACCTTCCCTGGAGGCTGGGGGTCGGCGCACTCAATCACTCTCTCTTACTCCCCCTCCCTTCTCCTTGGGAATATTTTCACATTGGTAAAAGCTGGGATAAACGCCTTGGGGCAGTGTTGAAAGGAAAAAGATATCCTAAATGTCTAGATTCAGAGAGCAAAAGCGCAGAAGAGAGACAGACTAAGTTGGGGGGCTGTGGGATGAGGAGTTCTGCTGTCAGGATAGGGACAGTGACCCTGATCTTCCTCCCTTCTAAAAACCACTCCTTCTGTCACCCAGCACCTAATCAGCCTCAGGCTCCCAAACACCACCAGCACCTTTACAAGCTTCTTGGAGTTTACACACTCCAAGCCCCATCCACTGCTAGCCCACCTGATCCATGCAACAGCTCTAATATCAGGTGGTTTTTATTATTGTCCTGATTACCATAGATTAAGTAACCAAGGCTCAGCGTGGTGAAGTGACTTGCCCAAAGGCACCCAGCCAGAGGAAGGTGGAACTACACGCAAGGCTCCAGTTGTTCCCACAATCCTTTGGGGCCATTTCCCCAAGCTCAACTCCTGCCTCAGCCGTCCAGCTGAAACCAGGCCAGAGTGAGGCTCAGGCGCTTCCCTTCCAGTCCCCCCTTCTACTCATTCCACTCCACTTCTCTGCACCTTCCTCTCCCCACCTCTGGATGTGCTGCCTCTCAGCTCTGCACGTGTCCCTCCACCCCTCTTCTCTGCACCCTCACTAGCTTCTGGGTTCCCAGACTAAATAAGACTGTACCTGCTCCAGCCCCAACACATCACCACCTCACCTTCGCTTCACCACCAGCAGCACCTGCAGCCAGTAAGGCTGGGTCCACCAGTGGGCAGGAGTGGGTATCTCTATGCCCCTGGCATGTTCTAAGTGTTCAAGGGCTCATCACAGGAAATGTTCACTCTAGGAGGTCAGTACTACCATCTCTGCATTCTATAGATGAGGACATGGAGACTCAGAGAGTTAAGCTGATTTGCTGAGGTCTCCAGGCTGCTCCTCGGAGACAAGGATTTTGCAACTCCATCTCACATACTTTGGGCATGTTGCCAGGAGGGACCAATCCTTGGAGAAGGACATCATGCTTGGAAGGGTGGAGGGTCAGCGCAGGAGAGGAAGAAGGACCCTGGATGAGATGGTCACTGTGGTGATAGGGGCAGGTGTGTCGAGATGGTGAGATTGGCTGAGGATAGAGCAGGCTTCAGAGCCATTGCTCACAGGGTCGCTATGAGTCGTAGTTGACTCAACACAGAACAACTTAAGAACAGTGCTCCGCAAATGTTAGTATGTATATGATTCATCTTGAAATACTCTGACTCAGTAAATGTGTATGGAAGTGGGGGTGAGGAGACCCTACTTTGAGAAGAGAGGCTCTAGAGAGAAGGGCAGAATCTATGGAGACAGACTGACACTAGGCCTGGGGGAAAGGGGAACCTTGGGACGGAGTGGGATTCCTGGGTCCTCACTCCCATTGCAAAGGTAGATGGAATGAGTGCATAAATATTAACCAAAATTCTTTAAATGCCCACTCTTCTCCTATTTTAGGCCAAGAAGACACAGGGATCAATTCTTGCTGCTGTGGTCAGTGTGGGGTGTACCCCTCAACTAAGAAGTTAATCAGGGGGCCCAAGCCGTGAGCTTCCTTCTCGGGGTGGCCTGTCAGTGATTGGCACCACCTCAGTGGGTTTCACACCTGGTCCAGGTGCAGGTCCAGTCTCACCACAGCATCAGTAACTCCTGGCCACATCCCCAGAACCCAGGAAGACAGGGTGTCTCAGCACACAGCAC